GATGACAGCCGTCGCAGGGGAGGGGGGGGCGGGGGGGGCGGCAAGCCCCTTAAATAAAGTATATTTCAATCAGATAAAATACATACGCTTCTGTATTTATTGCCATTAGCTTCCACAATAAAACGAATAGCAGCTAGCAATAGTATAGTATTTATTAACAGTGCTACTAATCAAAGTAAAGTTGTGGATGAAGAACTATCGTAACTTACACAGAGTTTAATTAATATTCATATGAGAAGTACAGATGCATTTGAAAACAACACCATCAATAAAAGGCAATACTTGATTTGATGATCAGCCTTGATTGAAAGATATTTTCTTATCGTTCATTTATGTATTATATGTATATTTGTTTACGTCATTTTTGTGTAGCACATGTCAATAGTTATAGAAAGTAGATAGTACAAGTTGTCGAAGGAATAAGTGAAACACCAAGGCGCCAGATTATGCTGAAAAGTGTTGAGATGATGAACGCTGATGTGATGCTCAGAGTTTTGGGAAACTAGAGAGAAATTGAGACTATAAGTAGAGACGAGAGTAATATTATCCAAGTCGACTTTTTCAATCAAGACAAAAGTATTTTTTGAGAATAACAGTCCTCAATAAAACTTACCCGAACATTTTTTGGATCGCAGAATCCGAATCTACTGATGGCTTCTCAAAATTCTTGAATTCGATTTATTTTTCTAATCAGTATAATCCTATTGTCGCAATTGAGCCAAGTTTTATTACACTTATCTACTGTTTTAAGATAGGTTTTCACTGTGAGAAAAAATTAGACTCATGAACTTCAATGTATCGCCTGTAGATTCGCAATCATCAACCCCAAAATCATTCGAACAAGTTTTATAAAAATTGTTATTTTCGAAAAATACTTTTGTCTTGACCGAAAAAAATAGAATTAGAATAGTATGACTCTCAGGCCTATATATAAACTCAATTTCTATCGTACATACCAACCCTCTGAATACTATTATTAAGTTTCAGTATTGAAAAATGCTGAACTGGTGTTAATGTGCTGGGGTTCTTAATCTATATTTTATTCCTTTCATATTGTTTATAATAAGTTCAATTATTTTTGTAAACTTTTTTGCTATGTTTCTATTTTTGTATTGTTTTCATGTAAATATTAGTCAATCGTTATTGATAAAATAAACAGAAACCATCGTTTCATTTGAACTGATTTTTTCGGATTGAAATTTATTGAATCTCTTTTTTCATTAATTGAAACATATATTCGTTCTCAGTTTATTTGGGAACTTCCAGTGTGATCTATTTACGATGTTAGGATTGGGAACACTGTTATATTTGACAAGAATCTTAAAAGACTTTTCACGGAAAAAAGTTATTCTATATATTTCCTATATTTTCATAAAGATCCTTAATAAATACTGCTTTTAAAATCCTACTTTTCCCTTTATATTCAGAACGAATCGCTACGAAGCCTGGTAATATTGTTAATAACTACCCATGTCGTTTTTTTTTCGAAAACCGACAGTAACCGGTGGTTTTCATCAAAACCGACGCTTAACCACGGTTAACCAATGGTCAAAATCCGAACCGGTGGTCAAACGACGTTAACCGACGGTGTTGTTAAGTTATTTTTACCAAGTGTAATTGATGAAAAGTGCAAGGCGGAAACAGCTGAAATAAGACTTTTCACTTTCCTGATTTAACGTTGATGAAAAATAAAAAATAAAATCTTTCTTTCTTCGAAAAGAATTAATGCAAAACGTATTCCCAAAGCGAAAGGTTTTTGGTTAGCATAGAGAAGATTTATCAGATTTATTTCTATATACGCATAGCTTTTGAAATTAACATACATAATTATTCGGCACGCAAAAGAAGATGCAAGAACTTGTTTTTTATTTAGATGTAATACAACATCTAAACCAAGTGTAAGTATAAATTTATGAAAAAATAAAATAATTTTTTTCATTTAGATATGATGCAACACATAACCCTAGTGTAAGTATAAATTTATTAAATAGAAGTAAAATAGCCATTTGATATATTGATATCTTTTGTATTTCAAAATAATAATAAACTTATTTTTTATTTTTCAAATAAATCAATATTTACATTTAGAATATATTTTTTGTCAGTGTACAATATTTGTAACTCTCCTTTGGACTGTTGATGAAGCCATATCAACTTACGTGCATTATGTTGTTCCATATAAAACTTCGTGAAACTGTCAAATGTTTTTTTAAGCTAAAAATGTACGATAGCAATAGATAATAGTGAAAAAAATAACACATTACTTCAATTGGTATAATAAAATTTGATGATGCAGAATATGACAACGAATTTGACCTGCGAACCAACACAGTAAAATCAACTTTAATGAAAACAAAAAAAAGAAAAACGTATGATATATAAATTTAGAAAAAGATTCAGTTTAACATATTGATACCAGTATCATCAATCTTCTCTTTTTCACAATATGTTCGATATTGATCTAATAATGTTTCACTAAGATTAACGTCTTGAAACATTTTTTGTAATTTTGATGTATATGCAAAACCGCATTTAATAGAAGTTTGTTACAATGATAAATAAATTTTATTTATTTTTAATTTTAAAATCATTGATTCTTCACAATCATTCGATGCACTTAATTTACCTACTAAACGATTGGCTAACATTTTACTATAAAATGTTTCGAAAACATCTTTATCTTTAACATATTTAAAAACTATCTAAATTAAAAAAACTAAAGTAAGAACAATAATAACAAAAACTAATACCATAATTTGATTGAATTTTTTCTCAATATCGATTTCCCTTTTCAGTTTTACTTCTGAAAAAATTCATTGATTATAATTCAATAGTAAATGTCAAATCTAAACAAACCCTTTTCGTAAAAGTATGTCACAATATCGAGCTAATAATTCAGATAATTTTCTTGAATTATTAGCAGCTTCTGTTACTGCATTATTATTAATAAAATTTCCACAAGCCTAAATACACAAGATAATAAATGAGATTATTTTGAAAATAATCTATTTACTTTATTAGCAGAAGCTATAAGATGTTCATCATTATTAAAAAAATTTTGTGCAACTTTAAAGAATTCTTCATGAATATCAAGAATTTTTTCAACGTAAAGTTTCGGATCCTAAGAAAACCACGGAGAAATACGTATAACTATATGGTACAATGATAAATTAGTTTTACATTAATTGCAGTGACACTGATTCGTTTCATAGATTCAATACCTTTTGGACAAAAATTGTCTTCAAAATTTTTTTTCAATTCAACGATCGTATTTGGTACTCGACCAACTAATTTGAATAGAAATGCGAAATCTATCAAAAAAGTAAATCATTTAAAATCGATTATATAAAATTTTCTAGATTAATTATGTTGATAATTTTTTTTTCTATATACCTGAATAGTTTTCATCGTGTAAAAGTATTTTTGCTTCCGTATAGACTGCTTCAAGTTGATCAAGAATGAATATTTGTTCAAGTATTTTAATTAAAGGTGGTAATGTTGATGAATGTAAATATGATTCTACTCGATGCATTTCTTCTTGAAAACATTGTTCTACCTGTCATAAATAATATGAGACGTTTCATCATTTCTATAAAAAGTAAAAATAGTAAACTTTTTTCTAGTATTCAGACATAGAATTGTGAACAATAAAATGAGCTGCTTTCTGACAATAAAATTGTTCCGTATGTTGAAGAAATGGTACTTCAAAGTAATCTTTATAAATTTTCAATGCTAGAGGTGTTATTTGATGAAGATAATATGGTGCAGATGAATCTTCATTGAAGCCAATTTCGACTAAAATTTTTCGCATAAATTTCAAGAAAAAATAAATGTGGAAACCTCGGATTTAAATCCGAGAGTTATGTGTACTTCAAAAAGTGAATTACCCAGGACGAAGAATCCGACAGTCGGATCCTGTCGGATCCGATCGGATTTTCTGGAGATTCCGACAACTTCCGACGGGGAATCCGACAACTTCCGATAGGATCCTATCGGAAGGGTGGGTGTGGGTGTGGGTGTGGGTGGGTGTGGGGTGTGGTTGTGGGTATTGGGTGTGCTTATGCGTGTGGGTGTGGGTTTTGGGTGTGCTTATGCGTGTGGGTATGGGTGTTGGGTGTGCTTATGCGTGTGGGTATGGGTGTTGAGTGTGCTTATGCGTGTGGGTATAGGTGTTGAGTGTGCTTATGCGTGTGGGTGTGGACGTAGATGTAAATACCAGCTATCCTCACACCCACATCTCATATCCACAACTAAACACACACCCACACACACCCACACCCACCAACATCCCGCACTCACACCCACACCCATATCCCACACCCACCCACAGCCAAACCCACATTCACATCCACACCCACCCACACCCAGCAGCACACCCCGCACTCGCACCCACATCCATACCCACACCCAAACCCACATCCACACCCACCCACACTCACCACACCCAGCAACACACCCCGCACCCACATCCACAACCACACCCACACTCACACCCACATACCCATTCCAACACCCACACCCTTCACGCGATTTTACATTAATTGAAATTGATAAACGGCATTCAGCTAACAGTCTTCGTCTTACGAGGGAACCTTTCGAAGTGATTCCCCGCTTTTGAGCTCATATTTTGGACATATAGACGGGACCTCTAGACTAAAATAACCCTAAAGGGATTCGGGCCCATAGGCCTCCTCTACACAGTTATAGCCATTTTACTTCAGTTTTAGCCTATGGCACGGTATGTACAAGCAAATAAACTCATGATATTTCGACCTGAAATTACGTCTACATATAGGTCTACTTATAATTAGAATGTCCTGAAAATTTCAGCTTAAAAGAATATTTCCTTCGCGAGAAATTGAACGTCGAAAAAACGTGCGAGTCAGGCATCTTTTCTGGGATCTGAGTGATTTTTTAAATTCAACATCTCGCGAAGGAAATATTCTTTTAAGCTGAAATTTTCAGGACAATCTAATTATAAGCAGACCTATCTGTAGACGNTTGGATGATACCTGATCCACATATTGGCATTTACCATCAAAGTTCGCAGAATTTGCGTTCACTTTATAACTTTATGGTGCATGTTAATGAGCAGATGGATTATTTGAAAATTTTGGTTGTCATTTCTGTATCTTTGTAAGTGCTGCGAATCAAGGGAATACAACGCTTCGCAAATTCAAGGTATTGAATGAAACTGGTACAGATACGAAAATTTCAAAACTCATGAGTTTAAAACATATGCTTTTATTATTTTAACGTAATTTGAATTTATCTCGAATTATGCTTGTTTCTACTAACGATCTTTTATTTAATAAATTCATGTATCTATCAAAGGCAAAGTACTGAATTTTCAGCTTTTCGACATAAAAATATTTTTGATCAGAAACTCAATATTTTACCACCGTAATTCAAAAACTCCTTGTTACACTGTAGGAGCTCAGTCAAGGGGGAAACAATTTCTTTAGCTTTTATCTGTTTCATTTTTGAGTCTTTCAATATCTCTGGTTAAGGTTCTTTCCAAAGCGGCATATTTTAATAAGATTCAGCTGTAAATAATATCAGTTTCACAATTATTAAATATCCAGACTAGTTTTTCTTCACTTTTACGCATCGGTTAGGCGGCGCAGCCTGTAGGCTCAACTATATCTAAATCTTTAATTATGGTTTATTACTTCTCACGTATGACTGACAGCAAGAGTAAGAAATGATGTTTGGTTACAAACTTAGTTAATGCTTTCTTCATCACTAATAAGAACCTAAATTCAGCAAGTTATTCAATGGACTTCATCCGCATTGATATGGGTTAGAAATTTTCTTTTTTCAATATACGATAATTTCATGACTTTTTAAACTTTTACTTAAAATATATTTTGCATTTATAAAATAATAATCCTTTCTGTATACTAATGTGAGCTAAGAAAAATCAAATAATATCGATTTTTTTTTCAAGCTAAAGAAGTCAAGAGAATTAATAGGGTTAGTCGAAAATTGAGCCTATCTTAGATGGAAATCGTTCCGTTGCGTATCGATGAGTATCTCAGTCTTTCATTTTATTGTTACGTATGATTTATTAGAAATGAAAGCAATAGTTAATGAAACAAATAAAATGTGGAATTATACTCACGAAATGCTTGCACGTTCTGATTCTAGTAGAAACGAATTTTTTCTCTAAGCAACATCTTATAACACGTCTCGTATTAATAATACTCTGAGTGTATTCATCATTGAACTATTCTACGTTTTATTTTCATTTCAAATAACAAATAACGAAAAGATATTCACAACCAAATCTCTAGTAAATATGTTTTATATCGATATTCTAATGAATTAATTAAATATGGTCGAGAATTTAATAATCGCTGATGCCATAATGGAGCTAATTTCAATAAATTATAAGTATCATTTTGAGATCCAGTATCATGTTGACAATTTAATGTAAAATGAATCAGTGCTGGAAAACGATCTAATATCTTTTCAATATGAACAAATAGATGATCAACAGTAAGCCATGAACTTGGAGGTCCATCAATATTTAATGTTAATTCTTTCAAGATAGGTGATAATGATGATGAAGATGAATGAGCAAAAAGTCTATCAACAATTTTAACAAGATCACCAAGTGAATAATTAGAATTTTGTGCAGTATAAGAAAAGATTTCAATTTGAGACATAAATAAAATACCAAGTTGAACACTTGACGACAATATACGATCTAATTTTAAATTTCCTTCAATATAAAATTCACGAAAATATGGTGCACGTTGAGCAATATGAAGTAAAAGTGGAATATTTTCACCAATCGTTTCACTAAATTATTTGAAAAGAGAATATTTATTTCCATATTGCTGTTAACTTACGATATCACATTTAGAATATCACTTGTAAGACTTATTTTTCTTAAACAATGCCAACGATCAATTGATTGAAGATATTCAAGCAATGCATCACTGATATAATCCATTTCCATAAGTTCCATCTAAAAATCAAAATAAAATAAAATATTCTTTTTTGTTTTTTGATTATCTTACTTTAACAGCATATTCATCGACGTCTTCGAGTACATCGAAAAGTTCAACTCTAGGATCTTTATTATTCTTATATGTTTTATTTAATGCTGAATAATTAAGATTAATACTTCGATAGTATGTTGTTTTTTTAATACCAATAGCTTTGTTATATTCTTTAACTATACGCTTTTGAATTTTTAATGCACCAACTGCAGCATCGACTAATAATTTCATTTCAAATTTAAATTCTTTTAATTTATTCAATAGTAACCATCGTTTTAATGCAGATACTCGTGGAACACAATTATTTAAAGTAAATCTTACATGGCCTGATATCTTCAGATATTCAAGTTGACTATGATGTTGAAGTTCTTCAAAATAATTTAAAACCCAAGCAAGACCAACCATTATGTGAATACTAATATAACGTAGTTTAGGTACTGATGTTGATTTTAATGGTGTTGGACATGGTGGTTCAATTTCTAGAGCTTCATGTGAACTTAACAATCATGATAAAAAAATTCCTTTGTTTAAAACAGTAATTATCACTTACCATGCAAGTGAAACATGTAAACGACATAATTGAGATAGATGACCATCGTTTAACATTAAAACTAACAATTCTCTGGAACACTCATGAATCATAAGTGAATGTAAATTTTGATGAATAATCATTGGTGGACAATATCGATCGATGGCAAAAGAATGATTACTGAGCGTATGACCATGCATCCGTATGTAAAGTGATCGTAGTTCAGGCAAATATTCGAGTATTGGAAGAATAATGTCGAAATCATGGTTATTGTATTCTGAATGATGATATCGATGAACACCAATATCAATTGAAAGAAAATGAGCTTTTGATAAAAGAAAATTATCATCTAATAATGTTTCAAGTGCATGAAATGGAACATCTTCAATGATAACAGCTTTTAATGCAGGCCAATTGTGTGCTTCAAGTGGTACTGTTGAAATAAAATAATCAAGTGCATGTGGAGCATATCGTTCTGATAGACAAAGATAAACAATTTGTGATAGATGATTTGGTATAATTGAAGTTAGATAATCGAAATAGAGACTTATGTTCATATTTCGATTGTTTGGTATAAAAAGTGGTTGTCGAGTAAGTACACATGTAAACCGTTGATTGAGATTATTAAAAGCCATAAAAAGATCATGAGGTGCCAAATATTCAAAAATAACATGAAAAAGTTCAACAGGTAAATCTTCGAATAATGTTGGTTGTTTATCCATGTTTAAAATAGATATAAAGATTTAAACCGTTTATATACTATGAAGAAAAGAGAAAAGAAAAGAAAATGCCATTAGTCACACATGTCTATAGTGGTCAAGTGCATAGATGAATAAGATTTTGATTTGATCAAGAATCCAAAATTCTAATAATTACAAAATGAAAAAGTCTTTTGATATAGATTGGTTGCAAGACAACATAGATACTCTTGCATCATTAATCGATACATCAATGATAATCAATATGACTATGAAAGACAGAACTGTTGTATTT